GCCTTAGCCGCTTGAGCCACAGGCGCCGAGCCATGCCCTTTTTTCTCTCTCAGACCTGTCCCACATAAGTCAGAAACTAGAATCGTTCTCCACAGATCCCACAAAATATTCACAAGAATTTAGATATCTAACCCAGTCATATGATCTGACCTGGAATGACTTATAAGTTATCCTCACCTCTACCCTAACTTCAGAGGAGAGAGGGCAAGTCTGGACCCAGGTCCAGGTTCACTCCGAAGATCTATGGAGGACAGACCAAACCCTGTCAGAGGGTGCTAGGGCCATCCCCCAGGAAGACCCCAATTGGAATTACCAAACTGATGCCCCTCCAACCTCACTCCAGTAGTTGCTTAAGTCCCAGCTGTACATACATAGCAGGAAGTCCTGATGCATGATCCCTTTTCCAAGTATTATGATGTTTCCCAAAGAAGTTCTAGGATTAACAAATTTCTTGTTGGCCTCTGCTCATCACGTCAGCAGGCAGGCAGCTCACTTCCACAGGCAGTGTCAACTATTGCTGGAATCTATGGGCTGTGCCCCTCCACAAGGGGGGCTCCAGCTGTCTACATGGCAGCTGCCTACCTGGAAACTACCTCTCCCCAAAGTCTCCCAGCATAGGAGAGGGGGAAAAATTTCCCCTCCTCAGACTAGGACAAGAATATATATGCATTTCCTTTGATAAAATTGCCTCATCCCATACTCATACTAGTTTACTAGCTTTTCTCAAAACTTGAGTATTTTCAGTCTTCAGTGAGTGAGACACCAATAACCCACTTCAGGTACACTCATGTCCAGGAAGCTTAATTCCTTCTTTCATCCAACATGCGGTGAGGAGTACGTGGCCCAAAGTGTGATCTTGACCATGTGATCATCAGTCAGTAAAAACTTGAACAGAAATACTGTATACCCAAATATCTACTAAAAATAAACACTTGTTTTCAGAGTTTGTTCATGATCTGCATTTGCTGGTGGAAAGGGATCCCTTCTTGCTACAAGGACACAGTCTCACCAAAGATAGAGCCAACTACATTATATAGATAACAACCCAAATTAAGGGCAGCGCCTATGGCTCAAAGGAGTAGAACCCTGGCCCCATATGCTGGAGGTGGTGGGTTCAAACCCAGACTCAGCCCTCCCCCCCAAAAAAACCAAATTAATCTTGCCCTGAAGAATCAGCAGTCAGGGCAGCGCCTGTGGCTCAGCAAGAAGTGCGCCAGCCCCATATACCATGGGTGGCAGGTTCAAACCTGGCCCCGACCAAACTGCAACAAAAAAATAGCTGTACATTGTGGCAGGTGCCTATAGTCCCAGCTACTTGGGAGGCTGAGGCAAGAGAATTGCCTAGGCCCAAGAGCTGGAGGTTGCTGTGAGCTATGATGCTATAGCACTTTACTGAGGGTGACAAAGTCAGACTCTGTCTCTTAAAAAAAAAAAAAATGAATCAGCATAATCAGACAATGGAGTCTTCTCATGAACAATGATCAATGAGTGGGTGTTCTACATTGTATACACATACAACATATACATATGCATGTACATATCCAGACACACACAGGCTCCAGTTATCAACCCTGCACTGTCATGCTGAAGACACCTACCAAAATCTTCCTTGGAAGAAAAGGCATTTGGGGGAAATAAGGTTATTATTTAAGGTAAAATGTTATATTTATTACCTTAAATAATAACCAATTACCATTGTATTTCTCCTCGGTTTTCTCTTTACATGCCCTCTCACAACAGAGGTATTGCATAGACATTCACATTCTAAATACTCTTCTCAGAAAGTTCTCCCTCCTGGTTTAAAGAAAACCTACCCTTTCCCATGTCCTGATTTCAAGCTGAGAGAAATCTGCAGAGCTGTAAAAGGCAGATCAGCTTTGCTGGTTCTTCCTCCAAAGAATTTTCTCTGAGCCATCAGTCAAGAATCACTTTCCTGCAGAATTTAGCTTGCTTGGAACTGAGAGTCTTTCTCCCCTTGGGGTGTCCCAGTGGACGCACTGTATTCAAGAAGATAACAAGCAGAGGCATCCCTGCTGGCTTGTTTACATACTTAATAGAAGTGCTGTGCTCTGTAGCTCCCCTTCTGTGCTTGAGGCCAGAAGGGAGATAGTTATCTCTGAGACTCAAATGTCAAAGCATTCTGTTAGCCCAGATAATAGGCTTGCAGTTCCCCCACCAGGGCTTATAGCCCAAACAAAAATGAAATCAATTTCTTTTGCTTTGTGCATACTTTATTATTTTACAAATTGGAAATTCTGAAAAACAAGCAGTACAGTTGGTATCCCTGCTTTCACTACATGACCTTATTCATTCATTATTTA